CGACCAAGGAAAGAAATTTCGACTCACAAACACAAACACAACCAATCCCTTGAAACACCGCCGCTCGCCCTCCTCTCAGCAGCAAATCCACAGCAGCAGAGCACGCGTCAGTCAACCCAGGCAGGCAGGCAGAAATCACGGGAAACTTCCATCCATCCACAGCACCCTACCCTGCACCATCCAGTCCTCTCATCCACCACTGCACGTATACATTATAGACCATCACACCGTTACACCGTCACTCACAGCGGTCAGTCAGTAGAAAGTCGGCAGGCATAGTCGGCATGCATGGCAGGACCATTCATTCTACAGAACAGCCAACCAACACAACACACACACATCCAACCATCCATCCATCCACACCATTCAGCTGGTATGCCAGCATACATAGCATCCACAAACCCACACCAACCCACATGACTCTGTGCGGGTGCGTGGATGGGCAATCTTGAGGGCGCCCAACCGTTGCACTCCATTCCAGTCCCTTCCAGTCCGTCCATTCGCCTTAAAAAGATGGCGCTTTCCTTCCATGGTTGGTTGGTTGCTGTCTCTCTCCCGCCTCTGTCTGTCTTTCTGTCGGCTGGCCATACGGATGGCCGGCCCGTCGGAAGGCCGTCCCAGAGCTTTTTGCTTGGAACGTGCCTCTCGTCCAGAACAGACAGGCCCGGCCCGCGCAGCGCACTCACAACGCGTCACGCGGGCGGAACATAGCCACATCGCATCGCATCGCCTCCTCTCTCTCCCTCTCTTGGCTCCAGCTGTGTCGCTATGTGTGTCTGTGTCTGTCACCTCCTCCCTCCCTCCCCGTCTACCTACGCTACGGAAAAAGCCAGATAAAGCCAGAGGGCGCAGCGCATTCGATCTACAGAGCCACCGCGCACTCAGACACACACACACACACACACACACACATGCCGTGCCGTGCAGTGCACTCACAGGCAGGCAAGCACCTGTACATAGCATGACACGCATGCAGCATAATGAATGCAGGTGGACAACACAGCGCAGCCCCTGTCGCCACACACTCACACCCACACTGCGCTCTCTCACACACAACACAACACAACACAAGACATACACACACATTGACGCACACGCACTCTCTCTCCCCCGTCATCCCCCGACACACAACACAGTGACCCAACGAACGAAAAGAATCCTTCAAAGCACCCACGATGGTCTTTATACGATGGGTGGTGCTGGTGGCAGCTGACGAGAGAGCGTGAGGCGACGAGTGCGATTGACGGACGATACGGATCAGTCAGTGGAGTGAATGGATGCCATGCGTCAGTGGATGAGTGAGTTGGCGGCCTGACGTGTGCGCGTGCGATGGTGCGAAAGTGACGTACAAAAGCCTCCACTCACCGACACGACACGCGCGTAGCATGCATGACATGACTGACTGCATTGATATGACTGAGTCAGTTGAGTGCGGTGCAGCAGAAAACCACCAGAAGAAGATAGCTGGGATGCTGGCGACAGAGAGGGAGACAGAGGGACGCAGAGGCAGGCAGGCATGCAAAAGCTAGAGAGCTATAACCGGACGGCACGGCCTAGGCGGATCGGACCAGTTAGCCAGTCGTCTCTCTCACCCCGCCCCTCTGGCTCCTTCTGACCTACGCTACGCCACGCCAGCCCGTGTGTGGGAATGGAGGCGCGTGTGTGTGTGTATGTGTGTGTGTGGTGGTGTGTGTACCCCCGGGGGCATGCAAGGCAAGCAATGTATGTAATATACACCGATCGAAATCGATGGGTCGGTCAGTCAGTCAGTGAGTGACGACAAGGCAGAGAAAACACCAGACAAGACAAGACAAGACAGACACCTCTCCACGACAACGGACAATGCTCTCCGTCACACATTCATTCACCCACAGCCTAGTCACCTTACCCACAGCCTAGTAGTCCTGGTCCGCTCGATCGACTAACTGATCGACTCTTCACACACACGAAAGTCGCCCAT